TAGTTTACCATAATGCCAAATCAACAGTTTTGAGTGTTTGAACAAGTTTTAAAAAGAAAAACAACTTTATACAATACTTTATAACACATAAAAGTATCCAATAAATCCAAGTTGAGGAAACTTTGAAATATGTACTATCCCTTTCAAGCACAAACACCACATAATTGCATGGGTCACAGAGGCAATGAGGAGGAGACCCCAGCTGTCATGGCTCAGTTACATCCAGTATTTGAATCCATCTGACAACAAATTACAATTAACCATGAATGTACTACAAGCCAAACTGCCTGATGATTATTACATGCAAACAATCAACTAATTCATTTTTTAACAGTTTTTCAACCAGCCCAAAGCATAAGCTTGTATTTGTCAAAAAGTACTCTCTTTTGAGAATATAATTATCCATGTCATATTTCTCAAGTGATTTTCCTTCTATTTCATTTTTTGTGTTACTCCAACTAACTTTTTTTTTCGCAATTACTATATTAAAATGCAATAAAATCAGTTATTATATAATGTAGTTGTTGGCTTGTTTTAAAGGCATGATATTGTAACACAGTATTACTGGTAGGAACAGGAGATAGTGCCCCTTGAACTAAGCATTTTACAAGGACATTTGTTTTAAAGCAAATCCACATTGGGCTATCTGCTATGTCCATCATGGGGAACTGAACCCCAGATTTTAGCATTACAACTTACTGCTCTCCCACAGAGTGACTGAACAGTGGGATTTCACCATCACCTTTATAACATACCCATGGCCCCAAAGTATGGAGCACGATTATTTATTTGTAAATAATGAGACCCAACTTACTAGTGCTGGCCAATTAACTTGATTAACCAAACATTATGAGTATTATACCATGTAACCAAAATATTACAACTAGAATTTCTCATTATTATTTTTGATTACTACAAGGTTGTTCAGTTTCATCAAATATTGTTATGACTAACCATAATTAGTGTTTTCAATTATTATTTGTTTGTTTTTAATTCCAACTATCCAAGCCTTATTCAAGAATAATAATTTAGTAATTAAATAATGAGCCTGATGATTAAATGATTAGAAAATTCTATTAACCACTCACTTCTGCAAAGCACAGAAACTTAGATCCACAGTCAAGCACACTAACTACAAGGTAAAGCTCAGACCCAAACACTTTTTAAATAGCCTAAATTCACCTCTAACACCATATTCACAGAACAATATTATTCTAGCCTCATTCTGTTCATATACCAATCTACCTACAACTGCAATAATTAGATATTTAGAAATGGCATGAAGTACTATACAAAGATATTTTTCTGTTTAAAAACTAGCTCAAAAACTATATTTGACATTCTGGTAAATGAAGAAAGGCTTGCATTATTTTACTATTTTTCAGTAGAAGATTCCCTTCTTTGAAAAATAATACTGTAGGAAGTCAAAATATTCAAAAAGTATCATGAAACTCTCTTATAATAATTGATCTCACTGAAATAATTTCTATAATCATATTACTTGCAATATGCACAATTATTATTTTTTATACAACTGGTATCCTCTAGACAAAATGGAAACATTTACTATTTTTTATTTCTGTTGACTTCAAATACCTAAATTGATGTCAAAAATTTTTATTTTCTTTGTGTGTGTGTTGATGAGATGTTACTTGAATACTAACTCGGGTATTGTGTTTAAGTCAATAATTTTGACAATCTTCCTTTGTCTCTGGTAAGATTCCACATTTTAAAACATTTATGCATACATATATGTATATTGCAAAAACTTCTCCCTTCTGTTATGATTAAATAAATCACCTTTTTCACAATGTAGCACCCCCACGACACCAAAACAAATCACCTGTGTAAAAAAGTCATAACATTTATTCTTTGCTAATTACTTTCAAATTTCATACAGAAAGACTAAAAATGCAAGAACCTGAAATAAACATCAACTTTATTCAAACTAATTATCTAGAGCTTATCAAAGCTAGAAATGTTGACTAAAACAATAAAAGAAACTTTTTACAAAACCTTAATATGACCATGTTTGCTTGAAATATAAAATATAAAAGCAGTTTTTAGAAATAAAAACAGAATATAATAGTGCAATTTATAAATTCTTAAAACTTAAGCTACCAAATAAGGCCTTACAATATCAGCTGTTGAAGTTTCAGAACTGAAATTCTTACAACCTAAAAAATGAAGGAAGAATATAATTGTGCTCAAATTGCACATAACATCAATGAACATTCTAAAATATACCAAATATAAACACACTGACAAAGGAATGAAAGTACTAGCTTGTCAAATATCTAAATGAAGCTATTTTATTATATAAAGTGAAATCGTTCATGTATCTCTAAACAATGTTTTGACAATGCTTTTTTTCCCAGCTATATTTAAATATTAAACCAATTTCTTTTAAGACGTTCAGGCAGAGAACTAATGCACTTAGCCAACTCCAATCATAACTTTTGCAGGATCGCTGATCCTCCATTATTATGCTTAACTAGTGAACCCTTGCAAGTATAACAAAAATACTTTGATCTTTCTATTCATGCTCAGAAACTGCTCCTAACCTATACAAGATAGGTCTTTTCCTTTCAAAGCATGTTTTACTAACTAGTATGCCAAAAATTAAAATTTGACTGACTTTTTTTAATGAGACACTGAATAAAAAAAAAAAGACCAACAGAAGCTATAGGTTTCTAATTACACTATGTACATCCAGGTGTGCTCAATAGATAGGAAGTTAACAACAACTGTGATGAGTTCACATTCATCATTGATATTACCAATACTGTTTAACACAAAGAAATTACTAACCAACTTATGTTTATCTTACACAATTAGAGGTATTAAATATACAAGTAGCACTTTTAGCCTTACATAAGAAAAATGTTTTTATGATTGTGTGATTCAGCATTTATCATCAGTTATGACCTGTTTTGTTTCTCAGTCATGTCTGTATGTCACTTCTGTAGTACAAGTTCGTTTTTACTCAAAAGATTCACTGACACTGTAAATAATGTAATAGATCATCTGAATCATTTATGCACGAATGTTTCCTTTCATACCAACTGTAGCCGCCTCTATTCTCAAGGAAGGAGCATACCTGAATTCAAAGTGAACTGTAAGAAGTTCTCAAACAATCTGTTATCAAACAAATTCAGTACAAGTCAAGATTCTAACTAATATTGGGGTGATTATCAGTAATTAATGAGCAAATAAAGGTAATCTTGTCTTTCTTTCATTTACTGAGTGAAGTATACAACTCAGAAGAACTTGAAAATTGTGTATCAGTTTAATGTTTTTTATCATTTAAGTATAGATCTAACATTTGTATAAGATATCTAAATAATCCATTCAATTATTTCAATAAAAATCTTAATTCATAATATATACATAAATTTCTTACTTTAAATGTTTATCTAGAAAATATTACACAAAAATGGGAGAAATATTGGAAAATATGTTATTACATAAATAGTTAAAATTATTAGTTATCAAAGAAATAAATTTTTTTCTAATAAACAAAATTCTGGTTTTGAATCTCATATACATAAATGTAAGTTGCAAGACTGTATGAAGAATAATTTTAATGACTCCACTTCTAACTTACAAAACATACATACCTCATCTTTAATATAAACTCTTCAAAATCATATGATAATTTCACTTTCAAGTTATGTAGTACTTCAGAAATATTACTATACAACTGTACACAGCTTGATGCTTCAGAAAAGATGTATATATTATATTTCAAAATATCAAAGTTTTGCTTATAAAAGTTCTAAAAATTATTTGCTGTACCAGTTTTTCACAAAACAAAAATAATACAAATATAAGAACCTAGAACATATTTAGTAGTAACTCATAAAAACAAAGAAAACTGAAAATATTTTCATTAAATAAGCTGATACTATCTTTTGGACAGAAGTTTCCTGACTGCAAAACATTTTCTTTCTTATGAGTTCAAGACTTGTAGTGTGAACTGGTGATTATACATTATAATAAAACAGTGAACATGTCCACATCAGGTATAGAATGTCTTGTAAGATTATTCAGAGAACCAAAATCAAACGTCTTATAACTGAAAACTTATTTTTACCATATAACAAACTGAAATTTGTGTTAAAATAAAAATGTTTTCTTAGAAATCAATATGACACAAATAACAACTATATATATATATATATACATTATGAATCTAATTAAAACAGACATCCATCACACACGGATGACAAAGTTCATTTTTCTCATCATTTTTCACAATGATAATAATTTTGAATTATTCATGATCAGCATTTCCAAATCTGCTATTAAATGGTTCAAAAGAAACTTCATGAAGCTATTATTTTAACCTGATGTGAGAAGAAATTTCATACTTTTACTACTTATAATATTGACTTTTACCCCTACTGAAACACAAAGAAAAAGAAAAAACAATTCACTAAAAATTTCACTTAAATTCAAATTAAAATATATCATCCAAAAGATGTTCATTACAACTCAGGTTATCTATGACATACCTAATGCAGTATGAATAATAGTGAAGAGATTCTAAGACATGCTATTCATTGCATTTCATAGAAATTTTAATTCAGTAGTACTGAATGCCTGTTAAACCTTTCTCTACATAAACTTTGTAATTAATTTATGTGCACTAACGTACTGAGCAACTGCAAACAGTAGTCATGAAACTATTTTAGAACTGTGACTACTTTGTAAATGGCTTAAGCAAGTATCACACTTCAATTTTACTAAAGTTTTTATAGACATAATTCTCTTACTTATTGCATGTTTTAAATTTTTGATAAACTACTTAAATGAAAATTCATGTCTATTAAAAGTACCATGTAATGAAAGATGCAATCTTAATTACTACAAACCAAAAAGTTGTAGAAAAAAAAATTATGATGCTACTGTGCTTGTATCTTGGTACATAAAAAGAACTGAATACAAAATATCAATTTAATGGAAAGAAGAAGTTACTAAAGGTGTTGCCTCACAACCTTCCCATTCATCATCCTCATCTTCCGTTTCTGTTTCTGTGTCTTCTACATCACTGTAGTCATCACCATGAAAACTAGAACTATCACAAAAACTATGACTTGGCGAGAGTTCCCTGTGCTCTAGAAAAGGGGACTTGTTCATAGCTTCATTTACTTTGCTGAAGTAGAGTTGTACCTATGGAGAAAAAACATACAAGGTGAAGTAACCTTCTTCCAAACATGTTTTTAACTTATGTTTAATACCTTCTCAGTTGATAAAGTGTTACTGTAAACACACTTGTAATTTTGTATGTCAAATGAATCACATATTCAGTTTTCTTTCTACATAATAATACACTTCTGAAGTTCTTCAAATAAGTTTTAAATTTGATAATTTCAACCTCATATCATCTTCACGGTAACTTAGGTTTACTCCACATTTGATATATCATTATGGACTTTTAAACCTCTTAATCATTATTAAGCTTCATGATCAAGATTTCTAACAACTTTGTCTCACACATGCTCAATGTTCCTTTTATGTTACTATAACAAATATATCATGAACTTTTGGTCCTTCTAAAATAATTAATCATGATGTGCAATTTCACTGATCTATACAACAATTCCAATATCTAGTATCACAGGTGTAACAAGTCCCAATAATTGAGCTTAACTTCACTTAACATGCATATTTATGTGGGTTTTTGTGGGTTCACGAAGCATGCACTATCAAAAGAACAGGTTATTTCAAGGTTCATTCAAACTTTTCAAGATAAAATTCTGGAAATTTTCCTAGGACTCATACTCAAATTTTAAGGACACTGAAATCCTTCCACACAGGATTCAATTTGCATTTTTGTTGAATTTTCATTCATCATATGAGCACACCAAAAAAAAACTGCTACAGTCTTGGGGCTTATTAGGCACAAGATTCACAATGGCTGACACAAAATATAAATAAACCTAATTTTGATAACTAAACCTTTTTTTTAATTAAGTCAATAATTTCATGGATAATTTTTTACTGAAACTGAAATTAAAGGAATTTTTCAGGACCATGACACGAAAAAAAAAGAGCTATTTTTTATTTACAGGAATTCTAAAAGTGCAATTTTTAAAGCTCATTTTCCATAAGTATCCAATATTTCAAGGGTCTTTTCGAATCCTGTTATTCAGGTATGTACATTTTAAGCATAGCAAGCACAAAAGGATGCACGACCACATACACAGATATACAAACAAAATTCATTTCAAGTGCACCTTTTATAAGCTCTCCATGGTTTTAAAACTAATGTTTTCCAGCTGACAAAATATTTTATAAAACACTAAGTACTTGCAACTGGAGAGATTTTTTTTTTAAATCTGAAATGTCTATAGAGTATGTCACATACCTATCTAAATTAGATAATTAACTGAAAAAAAACTTTAAAGGGTAACACAATCTTAAGATTTTGGACATTCTGTGAAATGAAATCAAGTGGTTTCAAATATGCAATTCTGCTTGCTGGATAAATGGTTTAGCCATAATAGTTATTTGATTTTGATAGTAAGAATTAAACTGAACAGGATCCTTGAAGTATGGTAATTATATGTGAGGCCTAGAACAAATGTTTTATAATCACTTTGGTAAAAGGATGCAACGTAACCATGAATCATTAAAAGCAAACTCTTTTAAGCATATCCTACACTCTGATGGTTTAATCCATTTCACAGTCCTGTATCAGAACAATAATAAAAATTGGTAAAAAATAAATGCTGAAACTTTAAAATGATAATGTTCACTGCTAAGTAAATATCAATACTTCTTTGCTACCAAACTGGTGAAGTTGAACTAAATTAGAAGTATACTTCTAATCACCAGTACACATGGTGTTTTAATCATTTCATTGCTTCTAAGTTTTAATAGTGCAATGATTTTGTGGGCACAAATAAATGTTAACATATCAAATAAAATTAAAATACTTTTGCCATATTCTTATCAATTTTTCAAAATGTTGACATTTTACTATTCAAACCTCATTTGCTGATACTAACAAATTATATTTTCAACATAGTAAGTTTAGGCCTATAGATATACTGGTTTGTTATAATTATCACACTGATGTTAATCTTGTTCACTGCTGAATATCTATAATAAAAATCTACTTATTCTTTTTATCCATATTTAACAAAGGGCTTAAATTTGGAGATTATCTTTAATAAAAACATGTGTTTACCCCTTATCACATATCAATAGTGAGTTAAACTTAGCTCCATGCAGAGGGTCACAGAACAGTGTAAGAACTGCACACAAATACAACATTAATAAATAGTGCAACCGGTAGGAATTTGAAAAAGTAAACATAATTATGTGAATATATGAATAAATAATATACTAATAAAATATGCAATGACAAAAGCACCCATACAGTAGCATTACAAAGACACATTAAAGAAAAAGTGATACATTTTATATATATATCAAATACAGTAATTCCATAAAATTGTTATTGAATCATTACACTATTAATAATGATTAACATTAATATTAAAATCTTTAAGTTAAAATAAGAAAATTTTGTTTCTTTTATGAACTTGTTTAAAAAACACTTAAATAATACTAAAAATGTTACTTAGTAATAATAATTATAAAATACATTTCAAAGTATCAAAGAAAGTATGAAATAAATTACATTAAAGACAAAAAAAAACTATTCAGCCATGTGACTTTTTTAGAAGAGAAATTTTGTTGGGAGTCTAGGGGCTTCACTACCTTTGGCCAAACTGATTTTAAGCCTTTTTGACACTTCATCTTTTCCAACTTTCACAGTTGCCATTTCTCTAATCTCTTCCATTAAAACTTGCTTTTATAGAGTCTTTAAGAACTAATTCTGAACATTCATACAACAACAATTTTGGTTACTCTTTCCAGAAACTTTGTTATTCTAAGAAGACCCATTACTGGCTGCTTCATAACACACAAATTGAATGCTGCTGTACATTTCAACATGTTTTTATGTGTTATGTTATTTTTTAAACTTGTTGCATTTTATATCCATGAACAATTATGCAGATTATACCATGTGTTTTGTTTTTCTTTGGATACAAAATATTTTTTTCGTTAATGATTTCATCTTCAATGGAACTTGAAAATGTATGGATTTATAAAAAGCTAAACAGAAAGATCCACAACCCCACAGAAATATTACATGTAAGATGATCCTCTTTAAAAAGAAACCTAGGATGAAGCATAAATAAGGCAAAAAAAAAGAAATTAACTTCATATAAATGTTACTTGAATAATGATCCACTGTTTTTAACTAGTTACATTTTCAAGAAAAGTTGATAATGTGTTTCATACTAATTTTGTAAAAGAATGTTATGTTAAAAAATTGTTTGCATTAATAAATATGTAATTGGCCACATACAAGACTGTTAATTCTCAAACTCTTCACTGGTCCACTACAGGTTTTCATTAAGAGATATGTGCCAGCCAAACATGAAACTAAGTTCTACAGTGTAAAATGCTGGATACAGTGAAGACAAATCCCTTAAGGTTTAACCAAATATCACAACAACACTAAAAATACAATCATACAAAATCAGATACATGACTGAAATATATAGCATTTCATCTATGACAACAAATGTCATGGACCTACAATACAGACAATGTAGTTGAAATACTTTGTAAACAGAGACTTTGCAACAGTTAAAAGTGCATTTGAAAAAACCATATACAGAAGGTATGGGCCTCAACAAAGAAAGTTTTGTTGAAACGCCTAGTTGATATGGGAATACAATAAATTGTAACTCAAATACCTTGTATCTAGGGTCTGACAATAAATAAAGTAGAAACAAGGGTGAGATGAGCAGCAACTGCTTAGTTCAGAGTGACACTTGTAGAGAAAATCTTGGAGAATTAATCTACAGAAGATAGAAAGGATGACATTTTTAATGCATTCTGTCTTTCAACTTTATGTAAGCTTGTACTGGTGTTGCAGGGATATATATGCTATCTGGGAGAATTGAAGTGAACATGACATGATCATCTGGTGGTTTTTAGAACATGGTTAGTGGAATAAGAAGAATGTTAACCACAAACTGGTGATTTCCAAGCCTGAATCTCTATTTAGTGATGGTTTCATCATGTTGATGAAGAAAGATTTTAATTTTTCTTGTTTTCCACAATTTCTGATTTAATGTGTTCATAACTGTCCCAGTCTAATTTATGTCCTGCCAGCATGACATGTTCTGTCAGGGTAGAATTCTGTATTTTCATCAGTTTTATTCTGTATAAGTCATTTTATCTTGCTAGAAAATGTCTTCCAGTTTCTCCAATGTAGGTCTTTTTAGAGGAACATGGTGTTTCATAGATGAAAAGTTTTTGTATCTGTTGACAGTTGTTCTTTACGTTTTACAACAAAAGATTTGTGTGTGTTCTGTAAGACTTTCACCAGACATAAATGTTGAACTTTTAGACTAATCTATAAAAGTAGTTCAGTTTCAAAAGCCTTCCATATTTCATGCCATGTTGATGGAACATAAAACAAGTTGGTTGGGTCAATTACAGAATCTTTCTAAAATTTACACTATGAAACTATCCCTAAAGAGAGACTCAGGCCCAGATATCACCAGTTTGTCACACTAGTTCTAATCATCACTCATACACCAACAAAACACATCATGTCCATTTTAATCCTTTCAAAATACAATCTGAATGACTCCAAGTACACTGCAACTGACCTGAAGATGAAAGACTTTCCAAACATTGTCCTTTTTACCTGAATTACCAATATACACTGGGTATTCAAAATTTTCTTTATAAGTGTCACTCTGAACTAGACAGTTGCTGCCCATTTTACCTGTTCATCATGAATAATCTGCCTAAATCATCTATTAAAGAATAGATGAAATACAGTTGAAATACCTTCTTGGCAAAGGTTTACAGAGGATAAATGTAGTTAAAATACACTGTTGGTGGAGACTTACACCATATAATGTATAATCCAAATACTATTTTTTTTTTGTTGATACTGGAGCTAGTAATGAACAATTATAAACTTATATTTCACATGGAGCTTTTCAAGAAAACATACCTTTATCATATCAATTGCTTGGTAAAGGTAATATTTATTAGTGAGTTACATTGACAAGAAATCCAAATCTGGGTCAAGATTTTATTATTCTAATTTCTGAGTAGTTGAAATGTAATCCTTACCTTAAAATTGTGGCTGAAAAGTTTATGAGATTTATCTTTGTTGGCCTTGTCAAGCTGATTTTTTGGCAAAATAAGTGTGAAAAGTCTTCCTTCATCATCCCCACTCCAGTGCCTACTGCATAATTATCAAAAATAAAAGTAACATCATCTTAACTTTTTAGTACAAATACTAATTTTGAACATCACATTAATCAGCTTAAATGAAGATAATGAAACAAACCTATTGGGTAGTAGTGACTATTTGGTGACTTTTAGAAAACAGAGCTGAAATTACACACACTTTACAAACAAAGAAAATTCCAGGACTATTACTAAAATTATTCCAGATATCTCAATTCCTACCCAGAAGAATTAAATTTACATTTTCCTGGCAAATTTATTCATCAAGCATGCTCACTAGCAGAAATTGCAACAATCTAAGGTCTCACAAGACACGAGATTTATAGTGGCTAACATGAAACAAACTAATTCTAATAATGTAACTTTTTTAATTTTTTTTTACTTAATCCAAATTTCATGGAAGAGATTTTTTTATTGAAACTTGAAACTTCAGAACTTAGAAAAAGCCATTTTTAATAGGATTTCCAGTATTGAAGTTTTATAACTCATTTTATCATGTTTTGCCATGACTTCAAGAAACTGTATGAATCCTACTATAGCCACATTTTACTTATTTCTAATAGAAAAATAAGTAATATAAATGTTTAGATAGTCCATTCTCAAACTCAGTAGATGCAAAATACATTGTACTATCAAAAGCTTTGGTACCATTTTAAGAATAATAAATTTATATATTGTTGGTGAGGCCCATATAACAGATACAATTAGTTCACTTGATTTCTTCTAATATGCTTTTCTATTCCTGTACTTATTGTACTTTTAAGTCAAATATACTTCTCCCAAGCTTTTAGCAAAAATGTGAACTTTTTCACATCTTTTCACTACACATATATTAACAATTATTATTTATATGATATTCTTAATTTACTTTATTATAATATCATCTTCTAATTTTTAGGTTTTCACTCAAAGCTGTAAATAATTTATTTTTAATTTTTTTATCCAACTAACAGGTGTTCCTATTACATCTCTTGACAGTATCATTAAAGTATGTATACAACCTAAACTCAGCTAGTTAAAACTTGAAGAAGAAAAAAATCAGGACATACAATGAAGACTGACCAAGGATATGTGACATATTCAAAAGATGGACAAAAAAAGAAGCAAAGAATTCCCTGGGGTCTGTACTGTTTCTAATGTTTATACATGACATTAATTACTAAGTTTTAAAGTATTTGAAGCTCTTCACAAATGATGCAAAATGGCTTACTTCTGCACTTCACATTTAACTATGGCATCTTAAAATCCTGATTTAATTCTACAGGTAGTTGGTCAGTACAGTGGCAATTACCATTCAAAATTAATAAATGTAAGGTTATGCACTATGGTCCCAAAATCACACAAAAATCACTGTGCCATGAATTCAGAGAGAAAGGCTTGGGTGTCTTCTTTGATCAATTTTGAAACTTACAATTTATAATGGTAAAATAAGTGCAAAGTTAACTCATGTCTGAGCATTATTAAACATATTTTTAGTCCCTATTAACAATTGAAACCAATATTAATTCCTAGTACAAGTTATACTTCAATACTTCTCTTCTCTCTGGAATATTTCTTTAGAGAAGAATATTAAGCTCTTGGAGAATGTTCGAAGAACATTTACTTGTACGATTCTACCACTTCCATCTTTATCATGTTAGAAAAGACTATAGTATCTACAACTACATGTTTACAGGGTTCTCAAAACCCTTTTTTTTTAAACGGGTACAGGGTAATTCTACTGTTGTAGCCAATAATGATTAACTGAAGTTGTTGGGTCATTTCAGACGTTATCTACTAGATTATCCTACCCCCTTCAGACCCAACCTTCCACGCAGACATTTACCAACTTGTGAAAATCAATACATGAGAGGCAACCACTAGACTTTGCTTTATAGTCAATGCTGTTACCTGATTATCTTCTGTCACTATTCCAATTAGTGCACTATATAATTTAACTTTAAGACAAGTTACAAGTTTCAAATGCCTCCAGATAAATCATACATTTTCACTAAGTCTGCCTCCATATTAAAACACTTCCACCTTCAAGGGTCATTGTATCATAAGATCAGTAGTAGGTTTTTCTTGACATGTTCCTGTAGATATGCAGTAGGTCACAATTTACAAAGATTTCATTCATGAGTATAATGTTTAACACTGGTAATACACTAGTTTTTGTTAGGCCAATGATTTCACCAGTTACAGATGTTGGAAGCTTTAAACATGGAAATCACTGTATTGGGTCATAGGCTTCAGGACAACTTAGATGTTTTTTGCAACAAAAATATTGAAGAATGACTGACATTCAGAAATATTTATAGGAGCATTTTACACCTCAATTATTGGTTAGAGCACCAGAGAGCATCATTTAAGGATCTGCCCTGTTCAAATCAATCATATATTTCTCAATGCACTATAAAGAACATAAATTATTTAGATTCTGTTGTAAGTTGCTCTTTGGAATTTTCAAGTAATTAATTAAACTTATGCAATAAAACAGTATTAAAAATTTGAGCTATATGAATGTTTTTTTTCTACTAAATGATTGGATATTCCAACTGGTTAATGCACATTTATTTCTTTAAAAGTGCTTGCAAAAGTTTAAGAAAGAAACTATTTTTATAAAAATTTACAACATTTATTTTGGGGTATCAAGCACTATATCAGTTGTATGTAAATCAGATTAAATTCACCAACAGCTTTTGATTACTATAACTGACAGTTCCAACTGTTGGAAGCACAGTCCCTTACATTTGAATTGCCACATTAACAGAATTTTGAGAAAAAGGAAAACAAAAAGAAACTGAAATTTGTATAAAATGTAACAAAAAAAGAAAATGTTTGTTTGTTTGCAGTTAAGCACAAAGCTGCACAATGGGTGATATGTGTTCTGCCCACCACGGGTATCAAAACCCGGTTTCTAGCATTGTAAGTCCATAGACATACCACTGTGCCACCGGGGGGCAAAAGAAGATGTACAACTGAACAAAAGTTGCTATAAATATAGCAGTAAAACCTTTCTTTTAAAGACCATATACAAATTCAATTATAAAGAATATAAAAAACTATGGTTATTTAATGACTCACTGTATAAGAGAATACTGCAAAAAAAATCTTTGTATCAAAAGTTCAGCAACAGTAAAGCAATATGAGGATTCAATACTACAATACAAAAAATTAGGATTCATCGATCTGAAACAGAATCTAAAAATATTTTAAAAAGATAGAACCAACTAATCTGCAAAATATATAAACATTTGTTAATTACACCAACAGATCAAATTACATTTAGAAATAATTTCACTGTATGACCTTTTTTGCTTACTTTACACTGAAAAGGTACTTCACCTGACTTGACGAAGTATTTTAAACTAAAAATTATATGGACTTTGCTTATCATTATAATTACTGATATATGTAACCATAGTTTAAAAGAGAACTATGAACCAGACTGGGAAAATATTTAATTATCCTTCCTTTCACATTTGTTCTTCATTTATTATTATAAAAGTAACTAAAATGCAAAAATGATTAGGTTAAATAAGGTAAGATAATGGAAAAAAAATAATTCATGAATTATACATATGAGTAGGTTGTTCATAATGACATTCAATACTGCAACATGTGAGCTACATGTTCCAAGAGTAATTTACAACTTGTGTGGTGGGGGTTATTAGACATGGGTCAAAGAGCAATGAAGTAATAAAATTAAATATAAATAGATGTGTACTGTTACAAGCTTTATGCTATTTAGGATAAAGAACTGGAGTATCCTGTTACAATTTGCAGTCACTAGAAAGAAAAACAGGTAGTTTAGATTTATTTCATATTTTTTAATGGTGGTTACAAGGTTGATCAAATCGACCAAATGCTTATAGAGTTAGGGTAGAGAAAATAACATATAAAGAAAAAGTTTTACTGAAAAAAAAAATGTTCGATATTTATTTAGGTTTAGAAATTATGCAAATGAAATTTAACAATTTTCAGATGAAGGAAAGTATTTCTAATCTTAAGATGAAAATCACTTTGCATTCAAAGCAGTCAATGAAACTCCATATATTCACAGACATATTTTTAGTAAAAATACTTGGTTAAAAAATTTGATCTTGTGTGTACAAAAGTCTTGTAACGTTTACTTAAAATTTGCCATATTTCATGAAGATACATAAAACATATTAAAAGTTATAGTATGACAACAGATGGTCACTTTAGGGTTAAAAGATTGGTCACATAAACCAAGCCCATAGTGAGAGGGTTAAAGGACTTCCCAGATTCTTCTGTGATGTCAATAATGAATATATCAACATATATTTGTTTCAGATATTGGAACAAAGTACACAAAGACTATCTGCATTAGCTGTCACTATTTTTTTGCACTGATAGACTAGAGGTAAACCGGCTAGGCAAAGCACCCATAGTCAACTCTTGGGCTATTCTAATAAAATAGTAAGATCTGATTGTCACTCTTATAATGCACCTATGATCCCAAAGCATGGAACACAGTTTTATTGCATTGAAACACAAACTATGGACCATTAAGTTCATAGTTCAGTACACTAACCACCAGGCCACAACTGGCCCCATATCAACTGTTATTGAAACATTTGTATGTAACATGTTTTTTTTAAACAAATTATACAGAGATTTTTAATTTAAAAATTCTTTTTTCACTCAAGCTGCATGACCTTACAGAATATTATATTTAAAGACATGTAGTGAAAGTAGTTGCTAAGAAGTACAATTATGGAGATAGAATTTAAAAATACCCAAAAATTACTTACTATCTGCACCTCTGACACTGAGTATAATTATGCTGCAACCTTGATAATGACATACAGCTCTCTTCACGCTCTGATCTTTCAAACCTTTCAGATGTTTCAAGCTTAGGGAGAGACACAGAACTAGAATCCCTTTCTGATTTGCTTTTCTGTCTTTCATACTCCTTCTTCAGGTTGCAGTTGTTACTTGAGGTTGAGTTGTTTTGCTCTATGAAACCATTAGCTTGTATGACTCCACTAGGAGGTTCATCCAAAGACTTTACAAAAAATGTGTTGAACCAAAATGAGAACATCTTTTCCTAAAAGTAATAACAAGATGTAATTATGAAATATTTATCTACTGTAGTGGCTGAAATTCCATAAACATACGAGATGTGTAAAATGGTTTGATATGTATAAAGATTATCATAAGCTTTACTGCAAATCAGTAAAGCCCAGGAAGACAAGGTTCCAACAGTTAAAAAAAACTGGCTATCAGTCACACAGTGGAGGTTGTGAAGAAAATTAAATGGATGTAGGTCATCAAATGAGAAACACATGTCTACTTACATTTCTACAAATATCTGGGCAATTTATTATCATCCAGTTGGTGGCAAAATGTTTCAAAAATAGTCCAGAGCATGTTATGAAAGTGTTTTCAAAGGAATTTTCAATGGTTAAAAGTTATGATTATAATGGTTAGTTTTAAACATTCAGAGTCCACTATAATGCTCAGGGGAATTATACATAACATCAAGCTAACACCACTATACCAAGAGAAAATATTATCTTTGTATGGAATAGATGTCACTATAGTATAGCTCCAGATAAAGCATCTAGCCACATGTCTATACCAAAGTGCAATTTCCTCCAAAAGATGCAACTATATCTGCTATACTATGAGATTTTGTGCTTTAAATTTGCTCAAAATAGGCCTCAGAAGTAGTTGTCTACATACAGCTGATGGATCTTGGGAAGCATGTAAAGGGAGGGACAACAATGAACTAAATAGACTCCAAAATGAAAAAAAGCCTCCAACAAAGGAAATGACACTGCAGAGAAATAGAATAAAATGACTTATAAACTATGGATAGTTTACAGCTAAGGATGTAAAAAACAATTCAGTAAAACTACAGAAATTCGTTGCCTCTTCTAACTGAACTTGAACATCATGTCAAGTTATAGCTATAGTGATTTACAATTCATAATTATCACAACAAGTATTCATTATTAAATTACAGAATATAAAATAGGGCAAGTTTAATAGTAAGCATGATAAAGCTTAAAATACAATAGTCATAATTCAAATATTAAACACATTCTTGAATATTTATATTACTTTAATAGATCAACAAAAATGGTGGATAACTTCAACCATATTGGAAATATTACTAAGGTTACCAAGTTTTCAGAATTAAAAAACCAGGATACTCTCCTGCCCTTTATTTCAGCAAGGTTGTAACAACTATGAATCAGTAAAACTCATGCCTAGTAAAAAGTATCAGCATAAATGTCTAGTTCAATGACAGGTCTTCCAAGTCTCAAACAGGATAACCAGCATTTTGTTTGTTTGAAGTTAGGCACAAAGCTACACAATGGTCTATCTGTGCTCTGTCCACCACGAGTATCGAAACCCAGTTTTTAGCATTGTAAGTCCGCAGACATACCGCCGTGCCACTGGGGGGTGCTAACCAACATCTACAGTAGTCATGCAGGAACTATGATTGGTTTAATTTCAAGGGTTCTACAACATTCTACTGCCGTCATTTTACTGCAGACACATGACTGCTGCAGTAAATGATTGCTGGTGCATTTTACTGCCAGCAAAGAGATGTAGCAATTAAATATTTCATTTTAAGGTTTTCTGCATGTATAGAAATTATATTATCAGAATATTATGAAAGCAACCACTATTATATCCAAAAACCTTGAACGTGAAAAATTAAGTCATAAAATTTGTACCCATGTAAATATAAATAATAGTGTACATATTTGCTATATAGTGGTAGCATTTTTTTCCTGCAAGTTATTCAATTACTTTATTATTTTGTTTTATTTTTAATCAAGTTTAGTGCAATAGTTTATTAGTTCACTGTAATTTTTTAGAATAAGGTCATTCACTGTGCTAGGAAATGTTTTGTTTTAAGAACATAATTATTTGTACCTACATGCTATTGATCAGTTTTAA